CATTGTCACATAGTGAATACCAAGATCAGCTTTTTTTTTTGCTGGAGATGCTCCTGAATATAGAACTTTTATATGAATTATTGATTTTGTTAAAACTATTTGTACAGCATTTAAAAGTAGCAAATGTGTCATGGATGCCCCACATTCTACTCCATTGTCAGACATACAGTCTGATGGTAGAACAGCATGCAAGTGGATAAGGACAAATCTATATTCACCCCCCCCCCCCCTAAATGGTGGGGGCATAAATATCAATAACCAGCATGTCAAATTGATATATTTACATATTTGTCCAACCCCTAATAACAGTTTTTAACTAAAGTACAAAGACAGGAAATACACTTGAGCTCCTGCTCATGCTTTGCTTCAATTTAAGGCATATGAGGAAAGAATTATAAAAAAGTTTTTTCATCATTTTTATTACCTTTTTACCTTTGATTTATTTTACAGGAATAATTTATAATCATCTATATAAATCTTACATCAGTACCTTGATAACATCTTAAGTACACTTTTTTTCTATACCAAACAGCATCAATTAAAAACATCTTCAACACCACAGAAAAAAGAACACAAAATAAATGACATAATTGACAAGGTACTAGCTGTACAACTTCACTTAACTTCTTATTATTTTTATACCCAATTTCATTGCATATTTATTTCAGTGTCAGTTTTAAGATGCAACATAAATCAAACAGGTATCAAAGTTCGGATCAATATAAACCACGACAAAATGATGCCTCCTGCCTCCGTGCAAATCTGCCAGGGAGAAAAAACAACCTTACAACCTACAAAAAGAAAGATAAAACTGGCCTAAAATAAAACTAGTAAGTATTTTTAGTCTAGTGAATCATTCATCACAAGTTGTGTAGGTTATGCGGAGATCCGCTTCAACTCCACCAAATGCCTCCACTACTTCCTCCAGTCTATCATCTAAACAAGTAATAATCAGACCAAAACCACAGGAGGAAAAAAATCATTTTGCAAATTTTACACCCTGGAAGGAGTGCTAGCTATTATTACAAACCACAACATCAAACTACCCACTTCAACTATACTCACAGACAAAACTTTGCTGCTTATATAAACAGATACCTTGAATTTCAAACTTTTGAAAATATTCAGATAAAAATAACATCTAGTATAGCTGCATCAAGCAAATTTGTGATAGTTTTCTTGCGATCAACATCTGGGGTTTAGAAATTCATCAATTTGTTTAAACCTTATTTTGCTTAACTTAGGTAAATTTCTACATCTACTATCTAAATATTTTTTTATGCAATTCATTATCAATATAATTGACAAAGTTATGTTCTTGAAGACTTAAATCACTTCAAATGGACAAAATTTATCATTTGACCTGTAACCTGCTGAATTTCAAAAATGGATTTGCCCAGCTTCCATTTTTGGAACTGCCTAGTTTGATTTTGGAAGTATCAAGATTAAAAGTTTGTCAGCCAACAGTTTAGAGCCGGGTTAAAATGCATAGATCTGCAGGCTGGTTTGGCACTACGAGCTATGATCAAAAAGTTCTCGGCCCGATATACTTCTAGACACTACACTGACACTTACACACCATACAATCATAGATACTGTACATATCCCCCATATTCTCCAGACTTGGCCCCCTCTGACTTCTTACTATTTCCGAAACTGAAAACCAAGCTTCGTGGTAGACGTTTTGGAAGCAATGAAGGTGTAATGGAGGCGGTCAATGAGGTCTTTGAGGATCAAAATAGAGAGTTCTATTTTAAAGGGTTAAACAAGTTAGAGCACAGGTGGGCATAGTGAATTGATGTAGAGGGCGATTATATTGAAAAGTAACATCAGTTGGGTTCTCTGACTACCGTAAGTACATCGGGCCAAGAACTTTTTATCAATCCTCGTATACTGGTGCAAGTTACAAGAAGCTTCGTTTGACTACTACAATTTTACAAACTTTTCCATCTTGAAACATTCATTTCATGGAAAGGGAAACAACTGTTACAAGACCAATCACAGAGACAAAACCGCATTTTTTCCAATGCCACAGTTTTTAACATAGTAAGTACCCAGGCCTGTTAATATAATTATGAAACTTGATAAAAACATTATTTCTCTCTCTATTTAGAAATAGGGGCTCTCTATAAAGCCAGATCAGCAAAAAATCAAACAGTTGATATTTTTATAACATCATATCAGAATTTATATCTGAACCATTGTGATCAACCTCCACTTTCAGTGCACCAAACTATTGTGCTAACATTCCAAACAATTGTTATATGAGCCTCATCATATTTATCTCTTCTGTTATCTGCTCAAAATCCAATTAACAAATCATTCTGTAACATCAAAATATATGTTAGAATACCATAGATATAGCATATTGCTCTTTCTGTTTAATTAAACATTGATAAAATATTGTCCAACACAGTGACAATACATTAATAGTGAATATACACAGATTTAATCTGATACAATGAAGAGGGCTTTTACAAGCTTCTGTTGCGGTTCTAAAATTTCACCCACATTAATGATAACAAGAGCCACCATAGAGCCAGGATCATGCTCACCCTTTCCTTTTCTTATTTCCAAAGGCAAACACATCTGAAAAAGAACACTGTAGTGAAGGATTTTGAAAGAAAACTTTCACTATTTTGTTCACAATTAAAATTCTAAAAACGACCTTGACAGTCAAGGTCATGTACAGATCAAGGTCATACTTAAATTATTCAACCTGTAAGTCCTGTCAAATTATGAATCATATCTACCTTTGGTAACAAAGTTATGGCAATTTAAGCAAATTTAATAACCTTACCAAGACTGTCAAGGTCATTTTAAGGTCAATGTAGAATCTGAATAATTCTACATTCGCAAGGTTGTTTTGTCAAAGTATAAATCAGATAATGGCCAAATTCAAGTTCAATTTAACCTTCTAAATACAAATCAAGCCTATTTCAATTATTTGATCTTCAATATCATTTCTGAGTCAAGGTCAAGTTCAGTCTTCCTGACGGTTTTACCCTAAATGTTGTTGCCTTTAAATATGAAATGAATCCATTCAGAATTAGTCATAGCCAGTAGTAGCAAAAATCAAGCAAATTTTATATACAGTCGAGACTGCCTTAACGACCCCCTGAATTAACGACTCCCTGTCATATGCGACGCTATTTTTTGCCCCCGACGCAATTTACTATTAATTTAGACTGAATTAAGCGACAAACGACTGTGAAATCTGGGTCCCGATTCGCTTTTCAGACTGTTTTTAACGACTTTGAGACGCTCCCCAGAAAATTTATACACGAAAGAGTTATCGTTTGTTATCTCGCGCGATGTTATTTGTGACGAGATTCAATTTGTTTACAAAACATGGCGGCTGAAAAAAGCAAAAAAAGAATCATTTTAATACTTGAACAGCGTGTTAAGGCCCTAGAAATGCTGGATCGGGGTAAACCAGTGTACAAAATTGCAAGGACTTCGGTGTTGGCAAAACGCAAATTCAAAATTTACGCAAAAGGAAGTTGGAAGATACAATGAAGAGGGCTTTTAGCTTCTGTTGCGGTTCTAAAATTTCACCCACATTAATGATAACAAGAGCCACCATAGATCCAGGATCATGCTCACCCTTTTCTTATTTCCAAAGGCAAACACATCTGAGAAAGAACATTGTAGTGAAGGATTTTGAAAGAAAACTTTCACTATTTTGTTCACAATTAAAATTCTAAAAATGACCTTGACAGTCAAGGTCATGTACAGATCAAGGTCATACTTAAATTATTCAACCTGTAAGTCCTGTCAAATTATGAATCATATCTACCTTTGGTAACAAAGTTATGGCAATTTAAGCAAATTTAATAACCTTACCAAGACTGTCAAGGTCATTTTAAGGTCAATGTAGAATCTGAATAATTCAACATTCGCAAGGTTGTTTTGTCAAAGTATAAATCAGATAATGGCTAAATTCAAGTTCAATTTAACCTTCTAAATACAAATCAAGCATATTTCAATAATTTGATCTTCAATATCATTTCTGAGTCAAGGTGAAGTTCAGTCTTACTGACGGTTTTACCCTAAATGTTGTTGCCTTTAAATATGAAATTAATCCATTCATAATTAGTCATAGCCAGTAGTAGCAAAAATCAAGCAAATTTTATATAAAGTCGAGACTGCCTTAACGACCCCCTGAATTAATGACTCCCTGTCATATGCGACGCTATTTTTTGCCCCCGACGCAATTTACTATTAATTTATACTGAATTAAGCGACTCCCTGTCTTATGCGACAAACGACTGTGAATTCTGGGTCCCAATTCGCTTTTCAGACTGTTTTTAACGACTTTGAGACGCTCCCCAGAAAATTTATACACGAAAGAGTTATTGTTTGTTATCTCGCGTGATGTTATTTGTGACGAGATTCAATTTGTTTACAAAACATGGCGGCTGAAAAAAGCAAAAAAAGAATCATTTTAACACTTGAACAGCGTTAAGGCCCTAGAAATGCTGGATCGGGGTAAACCAGCGTACAAAATTGCTCAGGACTTCGGTGTTAGCAAAACGCAAATTCAAAATTTACGCAAAAGGAAGTTGGAAGTTTTATCTGACTTTGAAAACAATGTTCCCGGTGAAACAAATTGACGTTGATATCTCACAGGAAATGAGGAAGTTAACACATTAACTTATGAATGGTTTAAAGATGCTGTTAATAGGAGAGTAAACATCACAGGGCCATTAATACAGGAGCAGGCCCTCAATTTTGCAGCAAAACAAGGAAATACATCATTTAAGGCCTCGAAAGAGAGTTTCATTAAGAGACATAGTATTTCATTTGGGTCTATGAGTGGTGAGAGGGGCGATGTAAAGCAGTCAACAATTTCTGAATGGACAGAAAAATTACCTACATTATGTGCAAACTATAAACCAGAAAATATTTTCAATGTGGATGAAACAGGTTTATTTTTTCGTGACAGTGGAGGTAATACTTATACAAATTGTAAAATGTTTCTGTTTTGACTTTTCATTTTTCTGTATAGTGACTTTAGTCAAAACAGAAACATTTTACTATTTGTCGACAACGCACCTTCACACCCCAAGGTCAACTTGAGTAATATCAAAGTACAATTTTTGTCGGCTAATACAACGTCTGTCACACAACCAATGGATCAGGGGATAATCCAGACAGTAAAACTCAAGTTCAGAAAACGTCAGGTAGGTTGTTTTTTCCGACATGAAAAATCACACACACATTATTTGAAGGCTAGGAAATCAATTTAAATTCTGCATGTAATAATTTCCTTTTTTGATTTGCAATAGAAATCTGCTTTTAATGTATAAATGCTAGTGTTGAGGTCAGGTGGATAATTATTTTTGTCTTTCTGTAAAATTTAATCTGCTTTTATGTAAGGCAGCATACTTTTAACGTATCAACTTGCGTTTCAACACATTTTTCTTTGTACATTTCAGTTACAACATATGATACCCGGTATGGAGCAACATCCAGCTATGCAGGGCAGTGAGCTTCTAAAACAAATAACAATCTTAGATGCAATTTACTGGCTAAGCAATTCAAGGTCAGAAGTCGAGAGAAGCACAATTGTAAAATGTTTTTTAAAAGCTGGATTCAGTTGATTGTGATTATACAAATAGTTCGGGCAGTGCTGTTTCTGTTACTGGTGTTGATGCCAATGACGATGATGATGAGGATGATGATGTCCCCTTAGCAGTAATGCAAAAGTCACACGAGCTTTTTGGGTGCGATTATAAAGACCTCACCAGAATTGACGAAGAATTGTTAACATGCAAAACACGAAATTCAAACTGGGATGCACCAATTGAAACTTTACTTTCACAATTTATACCAGAAAATTGTGCTTTCTCTGCCGGAATTGATGGTGATGATGATGACAGTGATGACAATGATAATGATTCATCAGTAAATGTACCGACTTACTCTGAGGCTTGTGACTTTGTTAATAAACTTAAAACTTTTGCGGTCAGTTTAGGAAATCAGACATTGGTTGATAACATTGTCAAATTTGATGATGAGCTGTGCAACGAGATCTTGAACAAACCGAAACAAACACAGATTACTGATTTCTTTGAAAAGAGAACAGTGTAATTTAATATTTCAAGTCACCACGAGATAATGCATTTAATATGAATTTTAATTAGTGTTACCAAGAGACAATGCATTTGATGTGAATTTTAATTAGTGTATAGATAGTTGAACTTTATCTAGTGATACATTTTTTATTTTTTTAACTCCATTTAACTGTCCTTTTTAATGATCTTAAAGTAAACTGGTAACATTTTAATGTTTTCAATGGTTTTATTGTTTTATCAAGTTACATTGTACTGTATTTTAAATGTTTTATCTTTTTAAATGCAATAAAAGAAATAGTTTATACATGTACAGATTCATGTACACTTTAAAACCAATGTTGGCAAATTTGGCAAGACTGGTTTAAGAGACTCCCTGTCATATGTGACCTTTTTTCTTGTTTCCCAAAGTAGGTCTCTTAAAACAGTCCCGACTGTATTTCAGTTTGGTCTACTCGAAAATCTCAGTCAAAAGGTTTGCTGTGTCTAAGTATGAAAAAACAGCATAGGCAACAGCATTGTGGATGACATGAAGACTGTAACAACAGCTCACATTTTTACTTTAAAAAAAGTCGAGCTAAAAATGATTCAATCTCCAAGGACCAGAGCTTTCTGATAAAGTAAAGCCCATCTTTCACATGTGTCACTATGTTTTAGTTTCAATGACTTAGATCAATAAATAACACTTTAGAGATACTTTTCCTAGTATCAAGTTTTCAAATTAATGACTGGAACAAAGTAACTTTTAAAATGACAATAAAAACAAGAACCTTTAAATTTTAATTGTGCTGAAAACTGTTCATTTTTTATTGCTTGATTTATATGCCAAACTGACCTTCCAACATATCTGAATTTCTAGTGCAGGGTGACCTTAGAACTTTTTATTTCAGCCTGCACATATGATACAAGGGCAGCATTGTCGCAAAACACGCCCGTCACAAGGATGTTTTTTTTTGTTTGTTTTTTGGGTTTTACGTCACATCAACACAGTATAGGTCATATCGCGACGCTCCAGCTTTACTGGTGGAGGAAGACCTCAGGTGCCCTTCCGTGCATTATTTCAGGCACGAACGGGCACCTGAGTAGAACCACCGACGTTCCGTCAGCTAGCTGGATAGCTTCCTCACATGAAAGAATCCAAAGTCCCTGTCGGGACTCGAACCCACAGCGGTGAGGGGCAAGTGGTTTGAAGTCAACGACCTTAACCACTCGGCCACGGACGCCACAAGGATGTGGGCATTATAGATGTGCATATATGAGATATGCTATGGGCAATATCTGGATATTTCATCATCTCTAGTGACCTTGACCTTGCAAATATTAACCTAAATTACATGTGTCACACTTGTTGTCATGATAGTTATCATTTGTGTTACAATCCATCAATAAATGATGACTAAATGGTCCCTGTACAAATCTTCTGTTTTATCTTAACTTTGACCTCTCTATGTGATCTTGACTTTGGTAGCAGGGATCTGGATTATGCGTGCAATACTCTGCCTCAAAATGTTGAACATTTGTGCCAAGTTATACTAAAATCCCCTGATGAATGTAGAAGTTTTGCTACAAACAAGCATTTTTCAATAACTTCAAAGTGTGACCTTGACCTTTAACCTAGAGACCTGGTTTATGTGCATGACACTGCTTCTTATAGTTGTGAACATTTCTATGAAGTTTCATTAGAATCCCTCCATGTATGTAGGAGGTGTGCTCTGGACAAAATCTATATTTTATCATCTTTAGTGACCTTGACCTTGCATATATTAATCTAAATTACATGGTTTAACCCATAGTCATGATAATGACCATTTGTGTTTCAAAACCTCAATTCGACTATATGGTCAGAATACACATTTTCATATTTTTCTCTGAACTTTGTTCCCTGTGTGACCTTGACCTTGGCTGCATGTGACACTCTGCCTCTACAATAGTGAACATTATTTTGTGCAAAGTTATATTGAAATCACAATAGTGAACATTTGTGCCAAGTTATATTGAAATCCCTCTATGCATGTAGAGGTTTTGTTCCGGACAAGTGATTTTCAATGACCTCTAAATGTGACCTTGACCTTTGACCTAGAGACCTGGTTCATGCACATAACACTGCTTCTTATAGTTGTGAACATTTCTATGAAGTTTCATTAGAATCCCTTCATGTGTGTGGACAAAATCTCTGTATCTTATCATCTGTATTGACCTTGACCTTGCATATATTAAACTAAATTATAGTTCGCACCCGTAGTCATGATAATGACCATTTGTGTTTCAATCCATCAATAAATGATGATTAAATGGTCCGAATACACATTTCCATATTTTTATCTGAGTTTTGACCACTATGTGTGTACTTGACCTTAGCTGCAGGGATCTAAATTTTGTGCCAAGTTATATGCATGTAGAAGTTTTGCTTCGGACATGCCTTTTTCAATGACCTCAAAGTGTGACCTTGACCTTTGACCTGTTTTATGCGCGGGACACAGCTTCTCATAGTGGTGAACATTTCTATGAAGTTTCATTAAAATTCCTCTATGCGTGTAGGAGATATGCTCTGGACAAATATTGGAAGCCGTCTAGCCGCTAAACCACCCGCCGGGGGGGAACTATAATACGACCTGTTTTTCAAATGGGCGTATAAAAGTCAAACTCATGAAATGGAACAAAGCCCACATAGACTAATACTATCAAATAAACATGGTCAAAGGCTGTATCACTTTGACATTCTACTTTATACTTTCAGAAAGGATCACTTAAAATAGAAGAATAAATTTGAAAAAAGTTCTACCCTGAACTAATTTTTGACCAAACCATGTACCAGTGTTAAATTCTAAATATCAATCCTTATTGCGACGGACGCGCCCTCAGGCGCGTTCAGAGCTAAGTCATCTACACATGGGATTTCGTCGGCTACAATCTCGCAAGGTGTCCTCAACCGCTTAACAGCCCAAGAAATAGTACATGAATTTGATCCTTTAAAACTCCCATACTTTGTCGGGATATCTTAATATCTTCCATATTTATCCTTTTCAATTTCAAATTAAGTTATCCAAGTTAAAATATGAACGTATATGATTGAGAAAAACGTTGTAGTCCCGTAGTATTATTGCGCAATATGCAAATTACTGCCGAAACGATTTACCGCTGTCGAAAAAAGTAGGACAGCAAATTATACTATAATAAAGGTGTAAGCTCTGAGTTCCAAGAAATTATTAGTAGGAAATAAATAATTCTACATTATACAAAACATTATTATGAACAAATCAAAAGTTTTTCGTGACTCTAGAATAACTCGCGTATTAATAAAAGAAGAACTATTTTCGTGACTCATACTGCGGATTTAGCTGAATATTCAGCAGTTATTAATAAATTAGATACAGAACGATGGTTAGTATAAATATCTATTTTTGAAAATGCATGTAACAAGAGAGTTTTTCAACACTTTACCACCATGTAGTCTTTCATGATAATCTTTATTGAAGGAAGATATAATATCAGTTCTACTTCCGATTCTTGTGGTTTGTTTACATATTTTTCTAGGTCACGATATGAGTTAACCTTCGCTATTCTAAAAATAGATTCTGCACCACCTGTGCTGATTTTTGGTTGGACAGGCGATTAGGGATGTAATAAACCAGCGGATTATATGCAATACTTTTAGAAATTCTATACAATTGTAAGAAGCAATCAAGTTGAAAATGGAATTTAGTGTGAAATTGAAAAGGACAACTAAACACTGTAGTGCTTAAGTGACATTTGAATTAAAATAAAAACGATGTGCTCTGGCCTCTTGTAAATAAAAAAAATATAAAAAATACACTATTTATTGGTGATGATTTTAACCAAAAATATTTTTAATGAGACATATCCAAGAGAAATAAAAATACAAATGACTTATATTTTATTGTCTACTATGCCCACTATGATAGCATTCTCACATGTACAATGTCTTATGCTTGAAGTTTATTTGCATGGTTTTATTTTAGAAATAATTTGTTGACGGTTTTTTGTTCTATTGACATATCATTTCTTGGAATAAATCGATAAGGACACTGATTTACAAGTTTGACCAGAGGATTTAGGCATAAATTTCATTCTGTATTTAAATGCTTGAAAGAAGAAAATCTGAATTATATCAGTTTGGGACACAAAATATATTGCTCTACAAATCTCGAACTTGTATGGAACAATTTTTCTCTGTTATATATTTTGTGGTTTTTTTTTCTAAACAAAGCCTTAATGTCTCTCCGGTTGCATGTCCGTCGCATTCAGTGCTGCAGCACTTTGATATTCACTAAAGGTGTTATGTTTGGAAGAGCACAGTATGATTAAGACCAAAATCACCCTTTTGAATTTGCCTCTTTACAACAAAGTCATTGCTGCTGTACCCTTTTGAATTTCCCCTCTTTACGACAACTGTACCCTTTTGAATCTTGCCTCTTTAACACTTATTCATTGCCATGGCATCCTTTCAAAACAAGACTTTTGCTGTGGTAACTGTTTGAACTATGTTCATGAAAGGTGATCATTATAAAGAACAGTGAAACAAACTTTTAGGTCGGCACTATAGAAACTACCTGTTGAAATTGCTAATAATGCTCTTCAGAAGCTGTTCCTAAATATAATATAGGCAAAAAAAAACCAGAATGGAATTATATTGTGAATCAGTATGATAAAAGTCTTAGACCATGAGTCAGGCTAAAAAACCACCTGTTTCTACAAATATATAACTCCACAGTACATCCTGGCTGTTACACACCTATCTCAGAGAATTTTATTTCCGAAATGATCAGGTATCAATGAAAAACCTCTAATCCAAGAGCTTTCTGAAATTTCTGAGTAAAATATTAACAGTGTTGTTTGTAATTAACAGCATTTTTACCACCATCTTGTTAGTGAACTGATATAAAACTTGAATCAGGAGTTTTGTCCCTTTCTTTTTTTAAAAAAAAGTAAGAGGGAAATAATAAATAAGACCAGTCTCCTGACCTTTTCTCAGTGCTAGATAGTATAATCAAAATGAAGCAGAAACAGAGGCACAGTTCTGCAAAAGTCCCTGGCAGAGTTAACTTCCCTTGATGACAGACTTGGGTCATAATAATATATAGTAAGGCATTTAATGATCATGATAATTATAGCATTATTGAAAGAAATTGACAAATAACAAACAAAGTTTACCAAT